CAACAGTTTAACAATAGCAGGTACGTTTTCACCTCCCTGGCGCGCGGTCTTCGTTGGCCAGGACGCACGCCAGGGAGTCCTGGCCCCCTGCTGAAGAAACAATTCAACTGAATCCCTGTGACTACAAGGGGCACACACACACAATTCGCCTGCAACCGCCTTGGTCACCTGCGTCGCGTCCAAAGCTTTGAGGGCTGCTGTCAGGGTCACGTGGCCGGCAGCGGTCCTGGCGCTTCGGAGCGAGCGCCGCGAGGGTCTGTGGACTCGGAGTCCGCATGAGGTAACAAGCTCTGCGGCCTGCTGAGCTGGGCATACTGGCTTTGCCAAGATCGCAAGCTACAGTTCAGGGCCCTTTATTGAATGCAAATCTTCCATCTCAGTGGGGAGTGTGTCCACAACAGCCAGTTTGTGATTCCGATGTTGTGCGGACGGACTTTAACTGAAGTACTTGAAATTTACATGCCTCCAAAATATCACTTGAGCGGGGAAACACGAAAGGTAGAGACGGACCGAGTAGCTGTCGGGACCTTTTCTGGTGAGGGACTGTCTCCGGTGTTTCAGGAACGTGCTCCTTGGTCAATCATGGATGAAACCAACAAAGCCAGAGAGCACAAGAAGGCATAAGAAGGCTCAAGAGGAACTCCGTTGCGGTCAGATTGCGCCACACGGCTCTGCAGAGAGGCTGCGTTGCGTCGACGCTCGTTTGTGTCTAGGTGTGTGAAAACAGGCGCGCGTAAAAGTCGCAATGCGTAAACGCTCGCATGTGTACCAGCTATGGTCCCACAGCTGCACGCACTGTGTCAGGATTACAGGCCTGCACGCGTTGCGTCGAAGCCGCAGTGACTCAGTGACCAACCCCCTTGTAAGGATAGTGCTGGAGGGGTGCGGCCGGTACTGCCAGGGATGGACGTCACGCTATGGTGGGTGTGCTCCACGATGCGGTAAGATTTCGCCACGCTAGGGTATAAGGCTGAGTCGAATGGCGTTCCGCGACGCGAGGGGTTTCTCCACAGGGCTTTGCAAAGAGGCTGCGTTGCATCGATGCTCGTTGGTGTCGAGCAATATGGTCTGTGAACGCAGTACGCGCTGTGTTAGGCTGCCGGGCGCGCAGGCGCGGCATCGAAGCTGCATTGCGCGACCTCATTGCGCAGGGTTCGTGCTGTATTGCGCAACCTCATGGCCAGCGTCGTACTGCTGTGACTGTTAAGCGCATGACTTCACCTTATGTCCAGAATTTAGTAGTGCTGGCGACGAGGGGAGGGGACGGGGAGGGGAGTGGAGGGGGGAGGGGGGGGTGGGGGTGTTAGACATTGATCTACCAATCTTTAGTCCCGAGCAAGCTCTCAAGCCAGTCCCTTTGCTTCGCAAAGCAAACTCAAGGTAGTCCTTACCAGGCTACCTTTCGTGATTTCGACGCCAATATTCCAGTATAGTCACCCTGTGTTCCCAACAATGGAAGTGGATCATGGTCTTTTTGTAGGACTCATGCCATCCACGTACCCTTAATTCTTTCAAGGAGGGACCTCGCTTGACCTCGGACCCTATGACCTCCGCTTCACCGACTCCCTCGGGGCCCCTGGCACATCAGCTGCTCCAGGCGCTGGCGCCTTGATGCGTGGGGGAAGCTACGGGATTGAAAACAAGACTTCAAAGGCGTGGGGGGCCCGTGGGGCCCGTGCAATATCATCCAGAGTCTCAGTCTGCATGACACCAGCCAAAACACGGTCCGATCTGTCCGGACGGTGCTCGGTACTGTGCTTTTGTGCTTGGATGTGTCTAGCGTTGCGGCCGTTGGGATGGGCCGTTGGCGAGCGCCCTCCGTTTTGGAAGAGCCCAAGGAAAGCAGTGGTCAGAACAGGTCGACGAACATGCGGAAAGGTATTTCAAAAGAAGCCTTGAGAAACTCCACCGAGTCGCCCCCCATTCCCGGGTACTGACCTCTCTGAGAGAGAGACCGAAGTCTTCTGTTCATCGGTGGGAGAAGCCAGGGTTCACAGGTGCCATGATCCACAGCCAGGGTTCCCCGCTGGTCCAGTGACGACCGGACCGTGCGCGAGCTGGGTGGGGACCTCGACGGCGCATGACGGCGCGGTATGGCTCGATCCAGCTCAGTGCATCGTCCCACGGCTTGGTGATTTGCTGAGGATCACAAGTCAAAACATGTCAAAACAAAAGTCAGAACAACTGGAAGTTCTGTCAGAAGTTCTGAAGTCTTCAGAACAACTGACTGGTTGGGATCCCGAATGGCTCGCTCCAAGCACAACAAAAGAAGAACATTGTCAAGCAGGTCGGCATGTGAACCACTCCATATCCATTGCTTGGTCGGGCGTATCTTCGGCCTGCGCCACGGTGCGAGGGCTTGCGGTGCCATTCCTTGGCGCAAGCGAGAAGTGGATGAGGCGAAACACAAGACACACAGTGAGCTGCCTATGTGCATTGATCAGCTCAGGAGCGCGATCTTTTTTCTCAAGGGCAACTTGTGGACGAGGTGATGTGAAATGGAAAGTTGCTTGATATGGGAAGCGTTGTCCAAAGAGGTCTTGCAAGCCCTTTACTTCATAGACAGGATGCCTGGCGCATGCTGTGGAGGTTAGGGTATGTCTAAAATGATATGCAAGGCAAAGCAAGCACGTCAAAGCTTCACAAATGGTCTCTACGAAGTGTTTGGCCAAGATGTCCTACATAGTGACCCATCTAATCCTGCAAGCAGAGCCACCTTATATGCCTGCTCCAACTCTTTACTATCCAAGCTCCTAGCATGGCATGTGGCAATAGAGTCGCTGATACCAACTAATGTAATGAAGCATTTTGCTGCTTCTGACAACCTGGAACTGTAGCTGACCTCACTTGCTTGGTGCTGGTGGGGAAAAGAGAATCATTACCATACAGCGCTTTCTTCAACGCCATCCATCTGCAGTTTTTCCTACTTCCCCTACTTCCCATCTGCAGGAAAGACTCGCCACGGACGGTGAAAATGCCGTATCAGGTCGATGTGCCTCTCCTGCTGATGATACTTCTACTGACATGCCTCCTTTGCCTTCCTTCTCGGTCTTCTCGTCTGGATGCACTTTGGAATCCTCAGCTCAGCAAGTGACCCATGGATGCAACTGCGCATTTGAAGGCCCCGCAGTTGCGTAGCTGCTCAGTCAGTGTCTGTCTCCACTCCTCATGGGGTAAGTAAATAGAACAAGCGATCCATGCCAATGAACTGCTTAATCGCAGTATATCGTTTCACTGCCTAATGATTCCCCATGGCCCAACGCAGGCAACTGGGTGGGCGCTACGCTACAAGTCATAGCGTCACAACAACCCCTCACCTCACAGCCTGACAGCCACATGCCCCTGAGAAGACCTACTCTCCATGTTTCATCATGTTCAGGTTTGGGTCCCGATCGTGAAGCTCGAAACGGGCGAGGAGGGGAGGCCCTCCATCCAGCCTTCTCTCCGGCGAAGCTAGAGTACCTCAAGCACGTTGCAGCGTTCAGCTGCACTGCTTTCTTTGGTTGGCGATGCTCGACCCCTACAACAAAGGTCACCGAAGTTTGCTTGGCACCCCTTCCATATTCCAATGTGTACGGGCTATCTTCGGAAACTGTCAAGGATGGCATAGCCCATTGTTGGCTTTGACCCAGGTCAAGGTTCATCCATGTATTGACCAAAACGAGGGCCATGGAAAATAAAGGAATGCAGAACTACAGCCAGCTTCACTACAACAATCAACAAGGACCTGCGAAACCACTTGGTATGCAGTAATAAAGAGACTATATATATAAATATAAAGACATCTTGTAGTCCGGGCTGAATACCGTTATCCCCACATATCCAACATCCATTCCTTTGCCTCACACAAATTACCATCAAATTTCCTGGATTCACTAGTGACAACGATGTCCCCCCTAAAGCCACCTGGATCCCCAAGAGTGTTTAAACATGAAAACCCCCCAAAAAATACTCGCGGAAAACCAAACCGAAGGCTGTATATTATATGTTATGCAAAAATAATCAAGCATATCTGCCATATCTACGACCCATTGGCTGCTTGCATCTCACTCCGTGCACCATGGTTTTCTTCCTCTCCCACCCCTGCCCCAATCGTCAGACCCGTCCGTGGGCACGGAAGTGAGTCCTGGGCGGGTGAGGCGGACCATGCTTGCCCCGCATGCGCAGCGTGCGAGGCATGCCCTGTTGGAAGGTTCGAAACTGACATAGTGCCCGGGCTGGAGCACTTCTGGAGCAATTCCGACAGAAATCTGGACATGGCCCACTGAAACATGAGGGAATGGTGTGGTTTTCACGGAGTGGCGCATCCAGGAACAGGGAGAAGCAGGGCATGAATTACATGCAAGATCATGCAAGGTTCATGAGATTCTTGGGAATCTTGGGATCCTTTCTGGGCCATGGATGTGTGAGGAGGCCTAAACCTGAACGGCGGTGCCTCCTTTACTAAGCCAAGGCAGGTGTTCGGGGTGTTGTAAGACTCCCCCAGTGACGTTCTGGAATCTAAGGACTGGTAAGTTGCCTGCTGTCACAATATCCCATATTATTGTTCAGCCGGACTATATTCCACGCCCCACGTTCTCCCATTTGCGAGGTTGGGATCCAAGCTCCGACCAGCAGTAGCCCACCCAAACTTGATTGCCCGGCAAACGTTGTGCATCTTCCACACCACTGGAAAGAAGGGACAACCGCAAACATACCCCCACAACTCACAAAAGCACCTCGAAAGCAGAACCCACAACATGAACATGATGAACATAGATGAACATCAAACAAGCTAGTAGGACCAGTAAAAAGCTAGGGCGAACCTCTCCAGGTTGTTCACATATGGGTGTGGCCAGAAACCCTGGTATGGATCGTTCCGCGGTGCAGTGAGAGTGATCCAAACCCTATGGATCAGAGCGCTGATCCAAGCCCTATGGATCAAACCGACAAGTCACTTGATCCAAGCTCCCGACACGAACACATCTGCATGGTGGCACTTCACCCCACCACTTTCTCACCAATTCACTGTGAAGGTGGTGGCTTCCCAGATCAAAGCCATCCTGTTTGTGGCAAGCCTGTTTTGAAGTTCTGGCCGCTGTGAATTTGGGCTCCACTGTCCACATATTGGGCATGGTTGGGTATAGAGTGGTGGCAATGAGTGTTGGGTTTCATTCTTTCTCCAACTCAAGCAGACGACGCAAGAAGCCCAAAAAGGCCATCAGCTGGCCACGCATATTGGTGACTCAGTGGGGTTTTCAAGATGGTGACTTCAGCTCTGGATTGGAGGCTCACTCGGAACACTGGCTAGTGACTGCCGCTAATTCTGTTTGGCCTTAATATTGTGTTCTAGCACCTTCTTTAATATGGCTTATTTGGGTTGGCTTCTCCACTCAAAGGGTTGCATAGCCTAATGGTAAAAGCGTCGGCTTCCAATTCTTCACTTCCACAGTGTGAGGATTCGAGGCCCGGCTGTGACCACACTTAGTGGCTTCCGGTAATTAATTTTTGGGTGGAATGGGAAGTCAATTTGAAGTTGAGTCTAGTGGCTTCCGCTAAGTCTGTGGTGGTGGTAATACTGGTGATAGCAGTGAGTAGCAGTAGCAGCAGCAGTAAAGCTGTTGCAGTAGTGGCAGCAGGTGGCAAGTGCAGTGGCAGTAGCAGAAGGAGTGGTGGCAGCAGAGGTGGTTGTAGTAGTGGTTTGTAGTAGTGGTGGTTCGAGTCCCGGCTGTGACCACACTTAGTGGCTTCCGGTAATTAATTTTTGCTGGAATGGGAAGTCAATTTGAAGTTGAGTCTGTGGTGGTAATACTGGTGATAGTAGTGAGTAGCAGTAGCAGCAGCAGTAAAGCTGTTGCAGTAGTAGCAGCAGGTGGCAAGTGCAGTGGCAGTAGCAGAAGGAGTGGTGGCAGCAGAGGTGGTAGTAGTGGTGGTGGTGGTTGTGTGATCCAAGGGCTTGGATCACACACCCACCTTTTGATCCATACCCTATGGATCGAGGTATGGATCGTGTGTGGGTTTGGGTGTGTGATCCAAGCCTTATGTTTCTGGCCGTAGCCATATGTTCACATGGTCTCCTCTTCTCCTCGCGGGCGGAGAAGAGGAGAACACAGCAGCGAGGTTCGCTGGGGAGTTGTTCTCTCCCTGGAGACACTCCGGACACTTGGGGCCCGGTGACCCAGGCTTTGCTGGCTTTGGCTGCCTTGAACTGGCTCCGTCCCGCGGCGCGTGTGCACTGGACGGGTTTTCACCCCGTGCGACCGGACGTGACCGGAAACCCCGGGAGCTCGAAGCTCGGGGAAAGAGGATCTATATATAAAGTCAGGTCTGTCGGTGGGTCTAGACTTGGATCTGTTGCCATACTGTTGTCAACAGTATGTTGCCCATGTTTCCCCCCCCAACGGAGTCTTTCCCCTCATCTCGTGTCAATCAAATCCATGGGCGCGAGTTTCAGCGTTCCGGGAGCGCTCCCACCGGTCCCACCGTCAACACATGTGACTCCAAGCCGAAAGTCGGTGAAGGTGTATCCTTTCGCTCCCTGAATGTATCCCCCTGCTAAACCGATGTCCAAACCTTCAACTTCAAAACAACATGTGTTGACAGCATTGCTAACATTGCTATTAACAACCCCGTTCAATTCTCTAAACCACTCCGGGTTTGAAGGCGGGTTCTAGCCCTTCAAGAGCCATATTCTGTTTACTACGTCAAATCATTCCTGAGTTCCTCTCTACCTGTGTTGACGCAAACTGTATTGGTTCTGAACTATGGAATGGTTGATGTTGTGGAAAGGTTGTCGGAAATGCCCATGTTGTGGCCAACGTTGTGGGAAGAGGTTAGTAAATGTTGAAAACTTGAAAACAATGCCGTTGGGAAGGAATCTTGGAAGGTTCCACGTTTCAAAATGTAGCTTGTGGCCGACGGAACAGCTTTTGGAATGGCTGTTGACAGGTGTCTTGCAAATTGTCTAATGGGTAACTATTTGTCCACATCACTGTGCCCCGGTTTAAGTTCATCAATGTTCAAGCTGCTTGTTTGGTCAATACCACCCGTCACGGCATCATATCGTACACATGTATATAATTTACGTGCCTGTTTGAGGATGACCCTTAAAATCACATACAGGTCGGGAAGGGACATGCAAGTTGGAAAGACCAGGGTCCGTTTGCCAAAGAAGGAGGCAGGTTTCGAAATCAAGAGTTCCTGCACAAGAAACTACCATGGGCTGTGCCACTACCGGACATGAAACTCGTCGCGCTGTCTCAAGGCTTTGAGCCTGGGATGCCAGGGATGGTCATTTGGGACGCGTCACTCGTCGCTTCGGGCCTGGGTGGGCTCCGCCTCAGGCGGCGAGAGCACTTCTTCTTGCCTTGGCCGAGAGCACTGTGCTCTCGTGTGATCCAGGGTCGTCCGTCTCCATGCGAGCGGGGTGAGAGACGACCTGGAAACCTAAGTTGACTCCCTCAGTTTCCCTTGAAAAAATGGTTACGGTAACCTATGTCCAATCTGTTCATATTTAGTGGGAAAACCAATCCCAGAAAAAATTGTTAAAGGTTATCCACTGACTGGGTAGGTAAGTGTTACACGCGAAATCGTTGAGCACCTGAACATTCGTTTGTGTACATGAAGTCGTGAGCATATTCACCACGGCTTGTTGGAGTGTTTCCCATTCAGCGTGATGTGCACATTGGCCGGCGGCGCTGTGGATTAAAGAGGCAAGACCAGAAAATTATATTAAAGGGTGATATAGACTTCCAAATGCTGTAGATAGAAAAGTACTCAAAATGTACTGGAAACCGTGCCACTATCTATTGTGATGAGATGGTGATACAGGGTAATGGGACTGTCTGAGACGTGGAATAACTATCCAAAATGGCATTGATGATTCTAGTAGGTCTATGGCCCTGGGTTGGCCTCCCGATTCCAGGTTGACCTCCCAAGTCGATTCTCTGGAAAATTCGGTGGACCGGTCGGTCCCCCCCGGTGCCCTGCAGGTTGTCGCCATCAGGCTGAGAGGCATCAAGGAGTCAACTTCATGGCGCCTGAGCGGGGAAACTAATTGTATAATGGCATGTTGATGTCATCATCTTCCAATAACCTCCTGCCTACCACACAATTTACAATTGCAAAATAAATTTGAAAATAAACACAAAGCACTCCTAGCCCCTAGCCCATAAAATCTGGCCATCTGACAATTTAGTTTCTGAAACCATGTAAATCTATAGTGTTTCAAGAAGCTATGGTTTCTGCTTACTTCTCCTATTGAGCGTCGTCCACATGAACGATCTGTTCATTTGCAGGGGTCAGTCAGGGTCCCATTCATGACCTACGTTGTGTTGAGACTCTTGCATTCGGGTTGAAATCCAGGTCAACAGAAATACCACGTTCAAGAGAATACCACGTCCGTTTCTCCAGAAGAGCATCGTCACTTCGCTGCATCATCGTCACTTCTCAGCGCCACCGTATGGCTGCGCACGGGATCGCGCCTCACCAAAGCATGTCGACTCTGCTCCACCGCGACCGCCTGCGGAGCGGATAAAACATCGCCCTCTCAACATCTCTCAAGCATATTATGGAAGTTGAGCAAATCCCAAAAGTAGACGACGTCTATGATCTTCCGGTCTAATGATGTTCCACTTCCATCAGTGCAAAGTGTCGACCCTTGATCATTGTGTGAGCCAAAGCCCAAACCTGGGCAGATCTTGGCAAACCATTCTCTTAAAGAGGGTGCAATTACTTGGCTGTCCAGCACTACGCCAAGTGTCATACTGGTAGGTGCAAATCCCAACTAAACCATGTATTCTGGGTGCTGCTCATCAAACGGTCCAGGTCTTCTTGCTATGCATCCTTAGTTTTGCCGGCCAATGATGAGCACCTCTTGTCGGACAGGATTGTGTTTATATATACCCATCATGGCGAGAGGATCTTGTCTTTGTAACATTGCAGGCCGCCCATCCCTGGTATGCACCTGGTATCTCAGGAAATTTGGAAATTTGCCACCAAGGAGACTCCCAAGCGGACATGAGCCATCTTCCAATACCGACAAACTGAGTTGAACAGACAAGCTGTTCTGCTGCATGGGCACAACTAGAAAAACACTAACTGTACTGTTCAATGTGTCAATAATGAAGCTATACTTACTATGCCACTATGCACGTGGGCACGAGTTAATGCTCTTAAAGCTGACGTGCAGCATTTCTGAAATGAACACATACAGAAACCAAGAAACAACTCCCCGTGAATGGCAGGTGTTTTGTGCATTCAAATGATTTCAAACGCATTCATCACCCAATCCTCGAAGCATCAGAACTGGTCCAAAACAATGCCCCCCCATCA